AGAAACCCCAAGCACTCCATCACTGGAAATCTCACCATTCAGGCAAGGAAGTTTGGCATGACACAGTGCAGAGCTTCTGAGACACGTAGCCATGAAACAAATCTGTGAAATTCAAACTGAGGGGAATTTCAAGAGCACCTCTCAGGAATCACATGGAAACTACAAACTTCTGCTGAGTTAATGTAAATTCCCGGCATGAGTGCAAGCTGCTCTTTCCACCCCAGAGATACTGAGCAGAGATACCCCAAAGCAGGCTGAGAAGGACCTGAGGTTCTTTGATAAGGAGATAAAAAGAGGTCGCTGACACCATGAAAGCACTCCAGCAGAGGTCAAGTCAAGCTGATTGTTAAGGACATTCTGTCCATAATGTTCTCCAGTGCTTTTTCTGGAATGCTGGCACAATTATTCATAATTAAAATGGATGTATGTATATACCATATCCTTGCATGCTCAGCCTCACCCAGTCCAGTACCCACTGCATGTTTTGGACTTCAACTCCCAACATTCCTGAGCTCTGGCTAGGGTAGCTGGGGATAATGGGTACTGACGGCCCAACAATCTGAAAGATATCAGGTTGGAGAAGGATGCTTTGTGTTAGCTTATTCTAGTTGTTTCTATCAGTGGGTATTTTGCTAGCACACTGATTGTTTACTTGACAAAAGAAGGTGGAAATATGCCCTGATACCACCATCAGGTTGACTAACACACACCTTTGAGCCCAGACTGTATAATTTTATTTTACAGGCATGCTTGATTTCAAAGTGGGTTTTGCCTATTTCATGATAAAAGAGCTTGATTCACTGCCATTATCTTAGTGAGAGAGATGTAAAAAACAAACAAACAAACAAACAAACCTGTTTACAAGGTTTAATGCATGCTGATGGGGTTAGACTTGATACTCAACCTTCAAAGGTTGATTATGGGGTAAGAGTAAATGTGATTATCATATTGCCTGAACCCGGCTGAATCATCAAGTCATGGAATGCTAACCATGCCCAACCCATGAGGAGAACGCACGGTTTGTTGTTGGCTTGTAAACTGTGGCTTGTTCTCATATCGTATCTTGGCTGCATTCAGACAACACAATAGTCCATGTTTCAACAACCCCCACTCAATGCACTCAACCCCTGAGTGTGCATTATCACATTGTCTGACCCCAGTCACTGACTTGAGAGTAAAGTCCACTGAAACTGCTGGGTTCTTGCTTTGAAAAATACAAAAAACAGGGACGGGATTGCTTGACTGTCTTTGGGATTTCAAAAAGACATCGTGTGAGTGAATCTTACAGTCCCACCTACCCGTTAACTGTGTTTGTTAACATGATCACCTTTGGTACACATGGCAGGCCTAGGGTGAAGAGCAACTATTTGTGAGAATCCCTGTTGGTCACAGTTTTCAGATGTCACAATAAGAAAGTGTTAAGCAGGGTCAAAATGAGCATGCACAGTGGTATACATTTTATGTACAGTATTTGTCTTTTTGTTTTTAGAAATAACATATAATTGCAAAAGGGAAAAGAGGATGAAGAAAAGTGATAGCTGGTCTGATATTTGTACAAAGATACCATATTTTTTCATGCTATATTGTGTTATTTAAAATACAAGGCACCTTTTCATTTGAGACATTTTAAAATACAGAGAAATTGCTAAGTATTTTCCTCTCATAGGCAACTGTTCTGGGCACATCCTAATGCAGAAAATTCATAATCTGTGTAGATATGGAGGCTGGCTCCTTTGTTATCACATAGATAATGAAAAGAGATTTTTAAATGAGCATCTGAAGTAAGGACTGCCCATTAGGCCCTGGATGATTTTTGTATCGACTGGCTCCAATTATTATAGAAATATAGACTTTAACTGTGCTAATAACTACTTCTATAAGAAAGCAGTCTTTCTGTTTGCTTCATCAAATTTATGTAAATATAGTTCCAAGAATTTAGCTTTGTAATTTAATATACCCAGGGCTAGAAAACTTTTAATACAATTTTATACAACAATGTACATCCCTGCAATCACAAACTGTGCAAGAATTGGAGCAGGAGAAGTTAAAGAGGTCCACAATGGATTCAAAGTTAAAATTGACCTGTGGATTCCACAGTGCACCATATTTCTAAGTTATGTGGACTTGCAGACCAGGGTTTGTTTTGTTTTTCCTTTGTTTTGGGGTTTTTTTTTTCTTTTTGTACTTTTGGGAGATATTTTGCACAAAGTTGCACTAACATAAATGGAACTAATTTCTCATACATCTCTAAGATATTCTGTCAATGAGCAGATGATGGAATGAAAGGTACCCAATAATCCATGAAACACAGATGGAATAGATTTAATAAAACTTTTACATCCCTAGCACTGAGTTTTATGCGAGGAGGTAGCCCATTTATTTTAGTGAGGGGAGAATGCTCCAGATGGGACAGCCCCTTTGCACATATGGAACATGATCAGGCCTGTTGCTAGACAACTTGTAGGGAAGAGATTTAATGGCGTATCTCTCGTGTCTCTCTTGGAGAAACTAATATGGGACAACCACAAGCAGCTTAGAGATCAGCATCAATACAAAGCAACTAGAAGGAGCTTAAAGCCAGTCCTATATTCAAATGACAGAGGGATCTTTGTGTCCCAAGCCCTGCTGGGCTCTTATGGGAAGGGCAGGAGGAGCAATGGAAGACTTTTTTTTAGCATTTTTATCCTCCAGTACGGCATTTTCATTCAATAACCCTTCTAGGCCTACCTAATGTGTCCTGCCACTGACAGAGGTAGGGGCCAGGAGCCAATAAATGCATGGCTTTTCTCCTCCCTACTCACTGGCCCACTCCAAACACATTCATCCTGTGGTTGAAATTCCAGCTATGGGAAAAGGTGATGCCACAGAGCTTCCATCTTGGAAATCCCAGTTAGATCTTTGCCTCCAAGGTACGAATAGTCTTGGAAGAGGGATATCTGCATGTCAGGGACCATTAGATTTCACTTGCAGTATGCTTAAAATGATGTAGTCTTACACAATTGTATTACATATAAAATTGGGACATACTGCTTTTCAATTATTCCATTGAAAGACACTCATTGGCCAGAAACATGGAAGGTAGGAGCAAGTTTACTTAGTGTGCAATTATTATTATTATTATTATTATTATTATTATTATTATTATTATTATAACATTTCTATGCCGCCCCTTGCCGAAACCTCGGGGCGGCTTACAACGCGATTGTGTCAAATATGGTCTGCACGCTCTTTTTTCTTTCCATCACTGTAAATAAATGTGAATGTGGGGGGTGGGTTAAGAGAATGTGGATGGAGAGGCACACAAAGAATGGGTCAACACCAACATCACAAATGTGCAGGTGAATGCAGTTTTCAGTATATTTAAGGGAAACACTTTATCAAGAAAAAGGGATCTTGTGTTTTCTTAATGTTCCTTAATATCTTGGAATGGACTTTTTGATGTAGCAGCCCTAAATAGACTGCAGCTGAGCCATCTCTCTGTTTTGTTGTTGTGGTGTGCTAGAACCCTTGCGCTTACAGCCCCAAACAGTTCCTAACATAAATGTCTGTGTTGCACCACCACATTCCTGCACCATTGCTGCCGGACAAGGAAGAGCCTTAAATCATCATAATCCTTCTCAGTCAAAAGTTATAATGTACACATTAGAAATTCTGTGCCACAGCTATCTGTACAGACCATGGCAGGATGATGCTGTTATGCTATTGGTTGATGCTAATGGACAGGAATAGTATCAAGCAACCAAGAATGTATATTATTTAATAATCTGATATTCCTTCCTGCCTTGTTATACTGGATCAACGAGTGTTAGGATGAGAGTCAGCCTGAATACTAAGTGAATCAAATATGGTATCTCAAAATTGCTATTTTGACAAGGCTTCGGAAACCAGTTGTGGTTTGGCACCTGTGCACGTTCCGCTTTGTGTGTCATGGAATGCTCCCTTCTATATGTCAAACTATACTTAGGACCCAGCACAGGGGATCTGTCTTTTCATCTCTGTTGCTTTGACAGCAGTTGCAAGGTAGTGTATGTAATTGGAAGGTGGCACCAGAGGAGTTGTGCTGACCCTTTCTCTTTGCACCATTTCTCCAAATAAACTTCCTGCTGTAGCTGCTATTCAGTCAAAACATGCAGGTAGTGTCTACCCAGAACTCTGGCAAATGCATCTGTGAATTTTTCTGTCAGCAAAAGCATTGAACTGTCCCTAGGTACAGAAGGCTTCCTCTACTGAAGAGTTACACAAGTTGAAGTGCCACGGACTTAAATAAGAAACTGCTAGACATGTGGTTAGCAATCCCATTAATATCTCATGAACATGCCATGTAATCCTTCCTTGGTTTACCCAGAACTAAGGGTCACTTCACCCAATGAAGCTTACACCCTTGTAACTGTTTAACACAATAGCCTTTAAGTGCTAATATTGGCCTGGGTTCTGTCCAAAGTGGGTCAGTTCTTTTTGTTTAATCTTATTAATTTTGCATTTTGTTTTATACCTTTAAATAACTCAGATGCATGTAGCAATTCATTTTCATTTAATCTGAGGATAATGCTTTCAAGACAATTTCTTGCTTCTGGCATACACAAGACTTTTCTAAGGAGACTATGAAACAGCTGTTCAGAGCAGAATGACCTAATTCTAGACAAGAAATGTTGTTTATGTTAAAGGTCTCAAAGAAAACCTTATGTCTTTTTCTGGGTAGTTTTATGTATTCTCAATGAAAGAATGTTCTTTTAAATAAATACAGTAAATAAATCTTTGTGCAAAAATGTGTCAATGCACAAAGAAACAGATGGGAGGAAAAAACTGATGGAAGTCTCAGCAGAAATAGGTCCAACATTCATTACTTTATAAACTAGGTAGAACTGTGCTGCTTTTTACAAGCAGCAAAGGGAAAAAATGCAGCAGCAACAGTTGGATAGAATTGTGAAGTGGGAGAGAAGGTGGATGTTCTTTAAAGACCGTGCTTGTCCATGAAGCTTTCTCACCCAGGTCAGGAATTTGGGGAGTTAGATCCTTTCATCATCACTGTCACTAATTTTTTTGTGTGTAATTGGACTGGCTTGCTTCAAAGACGTCTTTGAAATGTCTGTGTGCATGGTAGACATGGCTATTGTCTCATAGTCATCATCCCTGGTACGGAAATCACAGAAGCGAAAGACCACCTGCAAGTCCCTCTGGAAGTTCTTGTTGAGAAACCCATAAAAGATGGGGTTCACACAGGTCGAAATCATAGCAGTGAGGTGGCAGATCAAGAACAGCAAGTTATGACTGCAAGCTGCAGGCAGAATTTCATGGTTCCAGTCAAAGACTGTATTAAAGATGGTGAGAGGGAGCCAGCACACCGCGAATGCAACCACAATAGAGATGAGCATGATGTTGATTCTTTTTGTTTCAGTAGATCGGTATTTATTGTCTCTCATCTTGTCCATCATGTTGCTCCTTCTTTTTAAGCGTATGTATATCTGCAAGGAAACAAAATGTCAAGGGCATTTGTGTGACCTGAGACTGTGTACTTAAACATACACAAGACACATCACAACAGAGATTCTTGCTTACCTTTAAGTAGCAAATAAATATAAAACAAAGGGGCCCCAAATATTGTATCACCAAGAGAACTGTAGTATAGGAAAGCCTGAGCGACTCCACTGGAAATGAATCCAGGCACACGTACTTCCCCTTATATTCCTCTATTGTTAGATTTGTGAATGGCTCATCAGTCAGTACATGATAAAGGAGGAAAGGCAAAGATGAAGCCACTGCTAGAATCCACATCACAGCAATCCCTATGTAGGCATGTCTGTTATTTGGCCTCCATCCCCGGGGGTTGATAATCAACTGATGGCGTTCAATAGCAATGAGAACCAAAGAGAAAACTGAAACTGTGATGGAGACACACTGCACAAAAGGATTCAGCTTGCACATGGCTTCCCCAAAGATCCAATGGTCCATTAAGGTGTAGACAAATGTGAAGGGAAGACACATGATGGTGATGAGGAGGTCTGAAAATGAAAGATTGACGATGAGGATGTTGGTCACGTTGCGCATCTCCTTTTGCTTTAAGATGATGATAATCAAGGCCAGGTTTCCAGAAATGCCAAGGAGGATAACTGTCCCATAAGCTAGGGCCAAGGTAAATACCATTGCCAAAGGCACGTGGCAGTCGTCATCCTGAAAGTGGACAAGTCCAGAAGTCGCCTTTGAGACATTCTGAACAGAATTGTTTCCTGCTGAGGAGAGAAGTGAAGCATTCATGTTGGGTTTTTCCCAGTTGGGGCCCACGCTGAGCAACAGTCTGTAGCTGCAATGGGCTTCTCAGGAGTACGCTCAAGCGGTCAATCTTTTTTCTCATTACATGAACAACAGGCTCCCGGAAAACGCTGCTGCAGGCATTTTCCTGCCATGGATAATCTTCCACTAGCTGCAAAGGCAAATAAATAAATTAATAAAGCTCTCACAGACGTGGATTTTAACAAATGGCAGAAGGCATTTTGTAGTGTTTACACAGAGGTTTCCCTGCTGAATTCATTGTAACTTAAACCTGAATAAGTGTGCTATAATTACAACCACAGTGCAGGCTAGAATAAAGTCGAGGGAACTTTGCATTAGAAAAAAGAACAGCATAAAATTACAGATGGGTTAAGCATGGTGTGATAACACCATTTTTTAACACACACATGCACAATATCCAAGAATGCTGAATAGATGCCACAATTTGGAAATCAGACAGTGATGACAAAGATAGGATAGGATCTTTTATCCAAAATAAGCCAAGAACACAGAACATTCTAATAATGATCAAACCAAATACTAGGTGAGTGCTAACTGAAACATGAGAAATATTCTTAGCAAACTCAAAATACTTACAGATTCAGAAATGTCATAGTGTAGAATCATAGCCCTCTTGCATGGATTGTCAGCATTATTAATTACTTAATCATAATGTTACATATATAATTAATTAGCACCATTAATTAATAATTTATAAATGATGTCAATTAATTAGCCTACAATTTGCCAGGTCACCTGCTTGACACATGCCACTGCCACTCTGCAGTCTAAACAACTGATGTGTTTGACTGGAAATTTTGTGATATGTAAACCTGGGCACCATGGATTACACACGGTTGGCATAAGAAATAACCATAGGTCAAGCTGGTATTCCTTAGAGCACAAATATTATTTATTTGTTCGTTTCTTTGTTTATTTAAAACATTTCTATGCTGCTCCCATTGCAACAAAGCCTCGGGGCAGCTCACAAAGAATATATAAAACATACATAAATAATAATAATATAGCAATTAAAAGAAGAAAAAACAAACAAACAACAACAACATTTAAAAAATAACTCATAGCGTGTGGGTTCACACATCACAAAACAACCTTCAACTGGAGGCTGATTATTCAAAGTGGCAGTAGTCACCGTAGTGTGCGCTGGACACAAAACCTAACAAATTGCAGGTTACTTAACTCATGATTTGCCTTTCCTGACACAGGTAACGTTACCAGAATCCTAAGCGCATGAACAGGATATATTTCATAGTTCTTTCTGGAGATCAGTGAAGTATAGCATTTGGAGGATAGTACAGATTTCAGTTTTTAAGTTAAAAAGGCTTTTAGTCGTGGCTGGGATTAATTAGTAGGCATTTAATTCTGATAGACGTGTCCACTGTTCCGAACGAACTGGATCCAGATTTAGGTGTATGCAGCCAGGCAGTGGAAACAGGCATTCTTGCTCCTTCCCACATCAACAGCCCTTTTTGTAGCCCTCCAAAAATGCTACATAGGTAACATGAAACAGGTAAACTGCAACACAAATGAAAGGTCTGTCTCAAAGCAATCAGGGGTACCTGGGGTGCATCAAAGAATTTCAGAAGATGTTGAGTCTGCTTTATGGACTACAGCAAAGCCTTTGACACAATGGACAGCTTAACTATAAAATAACTGAAACAAATGGTGGTGCCTCAGCATTTGATTGCTCTGCGGCATAATCTATACTGTGGACAAGGAATGCCTGTTAGGACAGAATATGAACAAATAGAATGGTTACCAATAGGCGAAGGTGTCGGGCAAAGGTATACTCTATCTTACTATTTGTTAAATTTGTACACAGAATTTATTATGAGGAAAGCTGGTTTAGGATCAGAAGAATAAGGAGTGAAAATTAGCAGAAGATACATCACTAGTGTAAGCTACTCAGATGATACCATATTATTTATTTATTTATTTAGTAAATGTCTATGCCGCCCCATTTGCCGAAGCCTCGGGGCGGCTCACAAAACATTAAAATACAATACATTCAAAATAGAAAATGAATTTACAATATAAAATAAGTATTTATAAATAAATATTCATATTTTATAAAATATATTACAATATATATATTGTAATATATTTTACAATATAAAATAAGTATTAGTGGCAGAAAACATCAATAACTTTAAAAGACTCCTGGTGAAAGTGAATGAAGAAAATACAAAAGCAGGACTGCAGCTGAACATCAAAAATATCATGCATACAGAAGAATTATGCAACTTTAATGTTGACAATGAAGAAACAAATTGTGAGATTTTGCATACCTTGGCTCAGTCATCAACTCGACTGGGAATTGCAACCAAGAAAATTGAAGAAAACTGAGATTTGGAAAGGTACAATGAAAGAATTAGATAGGGACATTACACTGGAGAAGAAGACTAAGATAATTCACACTATTTAATTCCCTATCATTGTACATGGGTCTGAATGCTGGACAGTAAAGAAAAATATGGGTATTGATGCAGGACAGTAAAGAAAGCTGACAGGAAGAATGTTGATGTATTAAAACATGGTGGAGGAGATCTGTGCAAATACAAAAAATGAACTGGCAAAAAGTTGAACCAGTGGGTCCTGAATCAAATCCATCCAGAATTTTCCCTGGAGGCAAAAATGATGAAACTGATGCTGTTGTATTTCAGCCACATCATGAGAAGGTAAGCCTCACTGAAGAAGAAAATCATGGTAGGAAAAATTGAAAACCAAAGAGGGGGAGGACCAACTATGAGATGGTGCAGTGCCATAAAGGAAGCCACAGCCTTGAGTTTACAAGATCCGAGCTGTGTTGTGAAGGACAGACATTTTGCAGAGCATTCTTTTATAGAGTCGTCATAAGTATGTTCCAACAGCACCTAGCGCAACACTGTTCAAGAAAAGTGTGCCTGGCGTTTTTTCAGAAGATCTTGTTGCCCCACAAGCCACTGATTCAGTAGGGTCTGCCAAATCCTCTCTGGAGCATTATGAAGGGAGGGAGCTGGAAGGACAGCTGTGAGCAGTCTGCCTCTGCCAGCCCACTTGCGCACTCATGGAACTGGATCTATCTGGATGTAACAGATGTTAACTTTACCCGTTCTTTTTACTTTCCCACATTGTACTTTATCTGACAAATTTATCTTTTATACTGGTTTATATGAATTCTGGCCTGCAAAGATACAGGATACGAGTTGATCAATATTTATTCATTGCCAACATTTATATATCATTTATATATTGATACACCATACTGAGAGCCAGTGTGGTGTAGTGGTGAAGAGCATGGGACTGGGACTCAGACGATCCGGGTTCTAGTCCCCGCTCAGCCATGGAACCAACTGGGTGACTTTGGGCCAGTCACAGACTCTCAGTCCAACCTACCTCACAGGGTTGTTGTTATGGGGATAAGATGGAGGAGGAGAATGTTGTAAGCTGCCTTGAGCCCTTTGTAGGAAAAAGGCAGGATATAAAACGAAAAATAATTAATTAAATAAAAATGTATTGCTGGAATGATGTCAAGGTGGTACACTGCAATTTCAAACACTAAAGATGCAGTTGTAAAGGTGGAGTTCTAAACTTGGAGGCTTACATTCATTCACTGCAAAGCGAGAAGAGCAGCGGGAACCACAGGTAGGCACAAAATTCTTGATTGCAAAGTCCATCAGGTCAAAGCAGAGGCATTACATCCAAGAGGAAGGTGCTTCTGCCTCTCTTTCTGATGCCCTCAGCCTGAATCCCTAGTGAGTGAAAATATTTAAACTGCTGGTAATGAGCTATTTGTTTACTTTAAGAATGACACCTGTTCTTCAAGACATATGCTCCATTCAGGGGTGTAGCGGAGTCTGCAAATACAAGTGTATATGGCTCTTCTCATCCCATTTTGGCTACAGGTGGAAGATGATGACATTCTAAACTGCACAATAAAAGTCCTGTGTGAAAGCATCCATCTCATCTTCTTTTCCCACTAACAGCTGCCAAGAGGTGGGATCACAGCCTGGAAGAGGGATTAGCCCTGTCTTTTTGCACTATTCTACCTGCCCCCATGTTATAAATCTCTCCCTGAAGCTGCCATTCTCTATTTGATTCTCTAAGGGCATAATCCTGAACATACTTAGATAGAAACAGGTCCAATGACACATCAATCCTCCAGCCAGAATGACTGACTGGGATGTGTTGGCAGCTGGAGGATGGTTTCTCTCGGTAACCATGTATGGAATTGCACCCTAAAACACACACAAAAAACTCCCCTACCTTGCAGCCCTGAGCTAGATTAGGGGCCCTGCAGCTGCTACAAGTGGTTTTTGTTTCAAAGAGGAATTCCACACAGGGGTTTCAAAATCACAGAGAGCATCATGTCCATTTTGGCACTAGTATGATGATTTTAACACTTTTTTTTTTACTTTGGCCCTTTGAAATACTGACCTTCTCCCCAACACTTTCTGCTTTTTCCTTTTGGCAAATTTTCCAGCTATGGAGAGAACCAAAGGACAAGCCACTGGACACACTGGAGCAAACTTCTTCCAAGCAAAAGCCTTCCCTACTTAATATTCTAGCTGGCCCCTGAAAGAGCAGTGGGGGGTCAAATACAAGTAAGCTCTCCTGATCACTTTAATCTCAGTCAGAATTGATGTCTAGCAGGAAAAAACAGCAACCACTGAGGAGAGAGGGACACAAATAAAAGGATGTAAAATTAAAGAAGGTTTCCAAGGGGAAAGAGCAAGTCAATATTTATCTCTGAAACCCGAACAGACACACTTTCAACTGAGCAATCTCTTCTTATACTAAAATTGCTATTTATGAAGGCACAACACACACAAAAAAACAAACCCCAAATATCAGAGGCAACTCAGCACAGCATCAGTTAATTGACCCACTTTTGATCCACAGAAAAGCTTTGCCTGGAACTGCTCCCTGAAAATGCTTGCATTCACTCTTAAGGATCAGTTTACCCTTATGGGTAAAGATGTGGTCCTAAGGGTGAGTTTTCCAGTGCAGTCTGTAACTCCAGTGAGCCAGGGTTCTCACTTCTTGCTGGCTGAAGCCCAAAGCCATTCCCA